GAGAGCCTAGTTCTCGCCTCGATTATCCTCATTCCGAATTCTGCTATTGTTTAAGCTTTCTGTATTTGATCGTTTAATGTTTCTGTTCTTACTCGTTTAAATTGTTATATTCAGTTCATACTGTTAAGCAAATCAGTTCTGGAAATATTATTTACTGCAACAATTTTTAATTTAATACCAACAGACCTAACTTTACGTACAAGTTACTATAACATAAACAATTATTTATTTACCAAACAAGATGAGAACGTTACTTATTTATTCAAAATATTTTTATTTAAGTGAAACATGTTGGATGTCCTCTTAAATTATCGTACTTGTTATGAAATGGTTAAAAGTCGATGCATGAATAAAAAATATGCAGTTGCCCAATTCTTTGTTTAAACAAAAAAAATGGCACCAAACGAGGCAATTAAGAGTCTTTGATTCTCATTAATTAGGAAAAAATGACTTCTGAATAATATTTTTAGGAGAATGAGTGGTTAAAAAGTAGGGAAATTTTTTTTTATATACATATAAAATATTTTATTGTGTAATATATACGATTGAAAATAGTCATGCATTAAATTATAAAATAAATTAATGAGTATCAAATAAGACAATAATTATCGAAATACAAACAAAGTAATTTTCTTTTTTATAACACCAGTAAAAGACTACTGATACGGGATAGTAGATTATTTATTAATATTATTGTTATCATCTTGTTACGGGTATATGTAAATGCTCATGTTTGGGTTCAATTCTTTTCAAAATACATTTTTTCAAAGTAATATATTTTTTTAATAAAATAATATTACATGTAAATCCAAATTTTTTTATTATCTTTATCCACACATTCTCTCAAAAAATTACCATTACAAAATATATTTTCTTTCAAAATCACATTAAAATGAAGCTCACACAGGTGCTAAAGTTCAAACACGTTATTCTAAAGTTATTATTGACTTCGTCATCTACTCGACCAATGTTTTCTATAAGTAAATGGTGAATGACATGAGTGGACTCTTCATAGCCAACTTTCCAATATTTCTTGGGGTAAATTTCAATGTGACCCATTATTTTTAGGGATAATTGCAGCAGCGGTACCAAATTTTTTAATTTATTAACGGATAATTAGTCCATAACGTTCACACATTTCATTGTTATTGTGGAAAACGTCCATACATTTTATTTTTTGACATTTTCATACTTATTTTTCCATTTCATTGCGCAAAATGTCATTTTCATTCATCTTTCCAATTAAAAATCGTAAAATAACTATTATACTCTTCTCTATAAATAAAACAAAAGGAAAAAAGAAAAATAATTACAATCATAGTCCCAAATATTTTAAAAAGCGTAATTAAGTCTCAAATAAATTATCAAAAGGGTAATTAGTACATAATGTCCCTATCTTTTACCATTGTTGCAAAAAATGTCCACACTTTTTTGACATTTTCACCATTAATTACACATTTGATTGTGAAAACCAACATTTTCATCCAATTTCTCAATAAAGAACTGTGAAATAATGAATATACCCTCCTATTTAAATAATTTTTTTTAATTTCTAATTCTTTAATAATTTATTTGGGACTCGTTTGCACTTTTTAATTTTTTTAATTTTTAAATTAATTTAATTTGGACTCGTTTGCACTTTTTTTAATAAAAAAAAATCATTTTTATTAATTTATTGAGGACTTGTTTGCAATTTTTAAAAAAATTAGAACTATGGTTGCAATTAATTGTTTAGCTTTTTATTTAAATAAGATGGTATATTTGTCATTTCACAGTTTTTTTTTTTTTTTTGAAAAATTAGATAAAAATTAATAGAAATGATTGTTTACATAATCAAATGTGTAATCAAAAGTGAAAAAATATATAAAAAATAAATAAATAAAATAAATGGTAGGGATTTTTTTGCAATAATAGTGAAATGTAGGGATATTATGTGCTAATTACCCTTTTAATAATTTATTTGAGGCTCACTTGCGCTCTTTAAAAAAATTTGGGACTATGATTGCAATTAATTTTTTTCTTTTGTTTTATTTAAAGAGAAGCATATAATAGTCATTTTACGATTTTTAATTTGGAAAATGAATGAAAATAACCTTTTGCGCAATGAAATGTGAAAATAAGGGTGAAAATGTCAAAAAATGAAAGGTAATGATGTTTTCTATAATAACAGTGAAAGGTGGGGACGTTATGTACTAGTTACCATTTATAAGTAGACTTTACCCAAATCTTTTGTTTGTGCCACCCACGGTATCAAATCTTTCAAAATGTAGCGGATGAAGTCCAAATGGATGATTTCTGTTAGTTTGACCGTTAGTTGACCAAATAATTGATTTTGATAATTATTTTGATTAATTTTAAAAGATTAAAAGGGTAATTTTAAAATTTTTTAAAATAAAATAATTAAATTCAAATAATTAAAATTAAAAATCCATTTTCACCTTCTTGTTATCTGGGAAATCTTCAAAACCTAGAAAGGTAGATCCCAGATAGATGGGAATTTGCTAATGAGGGATTTTTGGGAGGACGGAAGCATAATGTGAAGACAATCAAGAGGAGACGAAACGTTATGCAAAGCTCGACTTCGCAAGGAGGAAGTACATGTGTTGAGTTAGGGCATTTTGGTGTGGAGGAAGCACTGAAAGGAAGCAACAACAAATGATGAGTTTCATTGCTAAAAGCCTTCGGAAATTCGATGTTTGTCTAGCATTATATGGATAAATATGCGAAGAAGCAAGAGCGCTTAGAAATTGGGCAAAAGAGGAGACTCATTATGAGTCCAAGTGTTGAGAATTTGCATGATGTTGTATCTGTTGCAATGGGAATTAATCGGTTTTCGTGTTAAGAATTGGGGTTCCATCTTAAAAGATCAACCTTATTAAGAGGAGTAACCCAAAATATTTATTAATTGGTCTGTGTCAACATCATTTATCGATGTAGGATATATATCCTTTAACACGCCCCGCAAGATGGTGGCTCATTTGAGTAGACAAATCTTGAAATCCACGTACTCATTTTTGGAGTTTTAACTGGATCGAATCGCTCGTTGGAGCATAATGAGCTCTGATACCATGTGAAAAATGGTGTATATACGAATACACAGAGAGACTTTCATAATGAGCTCTGATACCATGTGAAAAATGGTGTATATACGAATACACAGAGAGACTTTCTCTCATCTTCCTCACTTATATACACCATTTTTCACATTTCGAACTATACAAGTCAAGATGAAGAGGAGCTTGTGAACATTCAGTTAGAGATAGAGACATTGTTTTCCTCTCCGAAGGACGCTACATCAGAGATTGGCCCTAGCACCAAGTTGAATTCTATTGCAGAGGGTATGTTGGAGGAAATGCCCAGGGAGGATCTCATTTTTGACTACCAAGCTGAAGAAATCTTGGTAGCCAGTGAACCATTAGTTGTAGAAGTGGAAGATTTGGTAACAAAAACATCATATTGGGGTGAGGATTTACAAGATCTTGTAGTCAATTGGGAGATCTTTAGTTGAAAGTTGAAAACCATAAATGATCTGTTACTACAGTTCTTTGATTCTCATGGTCTCCTGTTCCTCGTATTGAGTACGGATTTGGGGTTTGAAGATTTCCCAAGATTTGGGGTGGGGGTGGATAGAGAAGCTGAAATTGGTTTTAGGTTTTTAATTTTAATTATTTGATTTTAGTTATTTTATTCTAAAAATGTAAAATTACTATTTTAACCTTTTCAAATTAGTCAAAATAATTGTTAAAGTCAATTATTTGATCAACTAACGGCCAAACTAACGAAAATCATCAATTTGGACTTCAGTCGCTACATTTTGAAAGGTTTGGACGAAGTCTGCTAATAAATGAAGGATTTAGTAATGCTACTGCAATTATCCCTTCTTTTTATCCTCTTCCATCCTCAACCTTTCATTTATTTTCTCACATTCTTCATTTATATTCATTTTTGCGGTTAAAGTCATGTAATAAATAGGACAATTCTACTCTTTAATTTAAAATAAACTAAAAAGGAAAAAATTAAAATTAAAATTAAAAAAAGAAGAAGGAAAAGACAGAATTAGAATGAAAAGTCGTCTTCTTCCTCAACCTAACCTCAGCACCACCATGCTGACGACCACAACCATCAATGACCTCCCATACCTCAAAACAACTGTCCAAACCTCCAATCACTCCAAACCTTCCACAATCTCTACCTTCCAAACTATTTTTATTGTTATGAGAAATATAATTTTGTCTCGATCTGGATCATTTTACTCATGTAAGAAGCATTTCGAAGTATTATTACGTTGTAACAAAAAATCTATAAAACATGGACGTTCATATATAACATTACAACCAAGATTTTTCCAATACTATGGAAACCAAATCGGATCGGTTGGTTCAATTAAGAATTGACCTCAAATTTGGTCCGATCATAATATATCAATCATAAAAGGAAAAATCGGTAAATAAACCATTCAACCGATCGATTTAACGGTGTACTGAAAATTCGATCACGATTTTACCGATTAATACGATTTTTTAACAAAATATTTTAACTATCTTGACAGGCTCAATTGCATTGGCAGACCCAATTCTGATTTCCTTCCAAGTGCTATTGCTTTCAAAAGCGACTCCTACAAGTCTCATTGACTCTCTGATGTGGGATAAAAGCTACAGCAGCTTAGCCAATCGCAATTTTAAATATTTATTTATTTAATTGTTTACTTCATTTTCTCCACTGAACAAATCATTTCCTTCAGCTGTTAGAAAACAGCAATTTAGCCCTCTGTCTATTAGAAAATAACAATATGTTCATCCAACTACTAGGAAACAGCAATATAGTCCTTCATTTATTACAAAAGAGCAATTTAGCCCTCTTACTATTATGTTACAGGGTGTTAGAAAACAATAATTTTGTCATCCGAGTAATATGAAGTAGCAATTTTGTCCTCTATCTTTTGGAACCAACAATTTTGCCATCAAACTATTCTGAAACAGAAATTTAGTCCAACAACATTATAAAAAAATACATTGGTCGTGCAACTATTATAAAACAGCAAATTATGTCCAGTTTGAAGTTTGAACTAAAGTTCGAGATTTAGTGCCTGTTTGTTTCTGCTAAAATGCAGAATTCCAACCGTTAAAAAGTAGAATTCCAACCGTTGGACCAGTGTTCAAGCCGAAATGTTTGACCACGTGTTAGTGATGCGGGGTCCGCCTGCCATAGTCAACGGTCAAAAAATTACAATTCTGGAGGAGGAAAATCAATACCAGACATGGTCTTAATATTGCGACTTTATTTAAACCATCCACTTAATGAGTAAAGTAATGGGATATTAGGACAAGACGTCCTCACGTATGAAATTCATTATGTAAAATGTCTTCAACGTTGCATTTTTTACTTTTTCACCCCTATTTGAAATTTCATTCTGGAAATAATCGTTTTCATCAATTTTCATCAAATTTCTCAAGGGTTAATTTCACAAATGGTCACTGAAGTTACCTGAAAATTTCAAAATGGTCACTGAAGTTTCAAAGTTTCAGAAACGGTCACTGAATTTTGAAATTTCTTTCAAAACGGTCACTGAATTTTCAGATTTTTTG